GAGACGGGGGAAGGACCCGGGAGTGCGCGGTGTGCGCGTGCGCATGTTTGCTTCCCCATGGGTGCCCTCCCTGGCCGCAGTCAAACACACACCAGGAGGCTTTGACTTCAGCTTCAGTAATAAAAATTTATTGAGAATTCCTGGGGTGGTGGTTATCGCCTCCGGACCACGAGGGAGGAATTAACACCGTAGCAAATCACTGAGAAATCACACTGTCCCAACACCCCTGGCCAACACAGGGAGGAAAGTCATTGCCCCAGAAGTGGTCAGTCTGTTCATCAGAATGGTTGAGAGGAGCGATGCAGAGGGACCATCTCATGATAGCGGGGTGGGGGTGGGGTGGGCCCCAAGGTGACTCCTCAAACACCAGGGCAGAAACAGATCCACTTCCTCCCTGGAGGCAGAGTTCTTGGTCACCAGCCTCATTTCTTACCCTTGATGAGACTGTCACTGTGGAAATGAGACAGATGGTGACATGATTAGGGGACACACCTGTGAGAGGCAGAGCATCTCAGGCCACCCCCTCTTCCCTGGTGTGTGGGTGGGGAGGTCAGAAAGGGGAGCTAGAGGGGGAAAGGCAGGTACTGGGAGATAAACCCCACAGCCCAACGCTGTGTCGACTACTTACCTTCCCCTGTGGACACCAGGTCAGCACATGAACAGGGAACACAGAAAGACAAGAGAAAGGCACATGTGATTGGTAAGTTTCAGGCCCCACCCAGCTCTAAACCCCTCCTCCCTCCCAAGAGAAAAAGGCAAGCCTGCTGGAAGCCGGAGTCTCTGGCTCTGGGAAGGAAGACAGTAGCTCCCGTGGCCACTGCCAGGTTTCACCTCTGCCTTCCTAGCATCCTTCGGTGACCCAGAGCAGCTCCCCAAGACAAGGACTGAATATCATCTTTCACTGCTTTTCAGTGGAAGGGAACTTTACAATTAAAGCCTTTACAGGAACAATGCTATTCGATCTCATAAAATCAATCCCGTGAGACTCAAGGTCGGAATTACTAACCACCCACGTTTCTAACTTTGATCCAGAGAAATGGTGTTTTCCAGGGTCATATGAGTAGGCTAGTAACAGGCTCCAGAGCCGGAGCAGCCAGACTCCGGCCCCTGATCTGTGTGGACGACCCGTGAAGGCCCTGTCTCTCACCGGGTGAAACTTTCATCCTGTAGGTTTAGCACGAGGTTGTCAGCAGTGAGATAGATACGATTCTGTGAGGTGGCGATCTACAGGGCAGGAAATGAGACAAATGTTTGCATCAGGCAAAAAAGACCTTGATTCCTACCTGTACAATTCAATAACCACTGACAGAACACCTGGGGGTTAGAACAAGGATGCTGGGATGAGCGCCCTGGTTTCCGTGCTCACTCAGGGATCCAAAGCAACAAGCAACGGTGATGGGTTAGGTCCACAAGAGGCATGAACAGGTCAGGGGAGCCCAGGGAGTAATTTTTGATGAGAAGAAGTGTCAGACAAGCCAATTTGAACAGAAATCTGAACAAGCAAGATTCTACTTCCCTCCCTTCAGTGTGTGCACACTCACCGTCTTGGAGATGTTCTGGGCTGCCCGGATCTTGCGCAGCTTGATATAACCTGGGTTCTTGCTCAGGGCCTCTCCCAGGTAAGCAGGATGCGGTTAAGGGGCCACATGAGGCCAGATCTCAATCAGGGCCCTGTCCTAACTACTCCCTGGGCTCGGCCCTCCTCTGGGCTGTCAGATCCAAGGTTTCGCTCACCTGGCTCGTGCCCAACCCCACCTGTCGGCCTCCCTGCAGGCTACTGCCAGTAACTGGAGGCAGCAGCGAAGTGAGGCAAGGCCAGCTGTGCTGTTGATCTGCCTCATGGCAGGGAGCCAGCCCTCAGGTGCCCCACCAAGTTCTCAGATCCCACTTGGAAACCCCGCCCCCAGGGGTCACAGGGCATGGGTCGCATTCGCCTTAAGTCTCATCAGCCAGCCTACGGGGGAGGATGTGGAGCCGCATGCCCCCGGCCTGTGCTGGGAGCGCTTCTGCAGAAGGATATCATCCGTGCTGCCTCGGCCTCACCCTCCGCCTGCACGATCTTCTGCCGCTGTTCCTGCTTGGCTTTCTCCACCAGGAACTGGGCGCGCTGGGCCTCCTGCTGGGCTGTGGCGGGAGAGAATCGGGGTCACGGGGATGTGAGGCGGCGGGAACGCAGTTGCACCTGCCTGCTTCCTCAGACGCCTTCGCCTCACTCACCCACTTGTTTGGCTTCCACAGCAGCCGTGTACTCGCGGCTGAAGCTCAGCTCGGTAATGGCTACGTCATCCAGAATGAGGCTGAAGTCCTTGGCCCTCTCTGTCAGCTCCCGTCGGATCAGCAAGGACACCTGGCGGGAGGGGGCAGATGGGATAGGGGAGTTGAGGGGGCCGGAGAACTGAAAGGAAGGCGTGCTGCCGTGACCACGGGAATCCCAGATCTCCGAAACACTGCAGGGGCACACTGATGCTCTCCGAGTTCCTCACTGGGCCCGCGGGCTGAGCTGGAGAGGCCTCGGTCACACGGACTGCTAAGCTCCACTCTTTCCAAAATCGTGTGTACAGGTCTAGGTCACGGTTCTCCCTCCCCGCCTGACACTAACCAGGCCCGGCTCTCGTTCCCCACACTGGCCATCAGCATGGCTTTTTTGGGTGGATGGGACCTCAGGTTACAGTCCTTTCCTAATGAGCTGTCTTTCCTAAAAGCCCGTCCGTGGGGCTTCGGAGGGAAATGCTGACGTTGTTGCAGAAAAAGGGAGCTGGAGTCAGACCTGGGCCCGCTGGGTGATCAGCTGGGAGGCATTGAACTTGGCCACCACGCTCTTGAGCACCTCGTTGACAATGGACGGCAACACTCGCTCCTCGTAGTCCAGCCCCAGGCGCTGGTACATGCTGGGCAGCTCCATGGCATTGGGTCGGGACAGCACCCGCAGGGAGATGTTCACCATCTGCAGGTCTAAGAGAGAGGTCAGCAGTGGCTGGGCAAGGCTATGGGGGCTCACCTGGCTTCTTGGCAAAGCCACCCTCCCCAGGCATTTTCTCCTGTGCGCGCTTCCGTGGCTATCTAGGGCAATGCCCTGTGGCCCAGAACGGCCTTGGGCAGAGGAGAGTGAGGAGGCTGATGAGAGGTGACTCAGCACAGGCCAAGTGCATACTTGTCCATCGTCAAATCTTCTCTACCCATGGCCCCTCCTCCAGAAAATGACTTTTTTTTTTTTTTTTTGACGCTTCACTGAAAGTTGTTACACTGTATCGTTATCACCAGTCTTCTGAACTAGACAGTAAGGACTTGAGAACAAAGACTGTTTTGTGGATCCTTTATTTTTAAGGCCTAGGGTTTTGGGAATTTAAGCAACCTTCACTAAAGATAACGCAAAAAAGTACATTACAAGTGAGCTACTTGCCTCATTGTGTGTGTGTGTGTGTGTGTTTGTGTAAGGGTTGATCTGGGGAATCTCAAAGGCACAACATCTGAATGGTCTAGGAGGGAATAGATGCCTTAGGGAATAGGTGAAGAGTGGGACCAAGTTTCCCCAGAACAGAATGCACCAGTAGATTAATAAATCAAACAGTTAAACAAAGGTTTTAAAGCGAGGCTTTGACCTAGGTAGTGAATAAGACAAAAGAGAAACAATGCTCTTACTGAGTTTACATTAGGGGGAGGAACAGTTGAAAATGAGCAAATGCACAACATGTCCAGAATGTCCTGCTTTAATCCCTGGGGCAGGTGCTTTTATTACACCTTGTTTGCAGAAGTGGAAGCCAAGGCCCAAGAGATCTGACACTGCCATCTTCCCCAGTCTCTGACCAGGCTGCCGTTTTTACTGTCAGGGATGCCCCAGTGCCCAGACCTACCTTTGGAGCCTGTGGGGGAGGAAATTTTTCGGGGTCTGGCCCGAATGTCATAGATGATGGGGTACTGGAACCAGGGGATCCTGGAGGAGAGGGAACAGGGATAGGGGTTAGGAAGCTGCGATTTCACTAGTTCTGCCCGGTTTTCCTTCACCACGTGTTTCTTGGCCTGCTCCTCCTCTTAATGACCACGGTCAAGGAGAAATTCTCTTCTCCCTTCGGAAAATAACAGTATGTGCTGCTGGAGATTTGGGCAGCACCACTGTTCGGGGAGATGGGGTGAGGAGGGGAAAGGCAGCGCTGAATCTCGCTGTAAGTCTTACTACAGGTACTGGTGGGTCGACGTTCAAGGGTGAAGGGTCAGGGGCAGTCAGCTCTGCCCGCCATTACCTGAAGTGAAGGCCCTCGGCCAGAATGGTGTCCTGCTGCACGCCTCCGATCCGATTAAAGAAAATGGCTCTGTGCCCTCCTTCCACTGCAAGGAGAGGGGTGGGGGTCAGTCCAGGCCAGGCTCTGAGTACGTGCCAGCTTCTGGTGGGGCGGGGTGAGGGGTTGGGTGAGCGCGGGGCCCCGGGGGGGCTGGGAAGGGATCCAGGGAAGGCTGGCGGGAGTCCGGAGAGCGGGCGCAGGTTGCTCACCGGTGAACACGGATTCGCGGATGCCGTAGGCCACGGCGCCGGCCCCCAGCAGTAGCTTCAGCGCCGTGCCCATACCCCGGGGCCCGGAGGGCAGCCGTCCCGCTAAGTCCTTCAAGTTCTGGGCCATGTTCGGTCCTGAGGCCGGCGGTACCAATGGTAAGAAGGGGATGCCGGCCCGCCTCTACCGCGCTCCCCGGTTAGGGATGGCCACCCTTCACACGAGGGTCCGGGCCCCAGGTACTCGCGGGAGAAAGGGCACCGGAAGTGCGCTCCCTTCTGATCCCTCCCCTCAGCCCACGGCGGACCGGAGCTGGGCGCACAGGAAATACGCATCCGGAAGTCCAGCCCCTTTCTGGAGCCCTGCCCTCCCAGAGAGGCTTCGCGAGCGCCAGACCCGGAGCCGTCGCCATTTCCGAGCGCCCACTTTCGAAATGGCAGACGGAAGGAAGCTGGCGATTGGGGCGAGCTTGAGGCCAATTTAAAGACGTTACACAATTTCCGATCCGGATGCAAGATGGCTGCGCCCAGTGGGGCATTCCAACCTCGTGAGCGCCGGGCTGCGGAGCAGGAAGAGGATTGGGATGCTGTGGCGCTGAAGCGGCCCCGACTTGGGGCGGGAAGCAAGATCGGGGGCCGTAGGCTCATTGTGGTGCTGGAAGGAGCCAGTCTGGAGACAGTCAAGGTAGTCTCGGGCTAGAAGATGGAGAGCTAGTGGATCGATAGAATGGGATCCGGTGTGGTGAGGGTGGTGGGCTCAGGGGGTGATGGATGGAGAAAGCAGAGACGGGTGGAACATGCTTTTGGAGGAGTGGCCTAATCGACTGCCTTTTCGTTTAACATCCTGGGTTGGCAGTACTGGTTTTCTTTGCTCTTGAATCTCTGCCGCTCACATCCTTGCTTCGACTGATTTACCACGATTCTGTGATAACCCTAACCCCAAAGTCGTCTTAGGGGAAAAGTTTCGTCCCTCGCGTCGTTCCTCGGTTCATCCCAATACAAGTTTACTGGGCAAAGGGGAAAGGTAATTACACTAGCTCAGTCAGTCAGTTCAGTCGCTCAGTCGTGTCCGACTCTTTGCGACCCCATGAACCACAGCACGCCAGGCCTCCCTGTCCATCACCAACTCCCGGAGTCCACCCAAACCCCTGTCCATTGTGTCGGTGGTGCCATCCAACCATCTCATCCTTTGTCGTCCCCTTCTCCTCCTGCCCTCAATCTTTCCCAGCATCAGGGTCTTTTCAGATGAGTCAGGTCTCAGTATCAGGTGGCCAAAGTATTGGAGTTTCAGCTTCAACATCAGTTCCTCTAATGAACACCCAGGTCTGGTCTTTAGGATGCACTGTTTGGATCTCCTAGCAGTCCAAGGGACTCTGAAGAGTCTTCTCCAACACCACAGTTCAAAAGCATCAATTCTTCAGCGCTCAGCTTTCTTTATAGTCCAACTCTCACATCCATTCATGATTACGGGAAAAACCATAGCTTTGACCAGACGGACTTTTGTTGGCAAAGTAATGTCTCTACTTTTTAATATGCTGTCTAGGTTGGTCATAACTTTCCTTCCAAGGAGCAAGCATCTTTTAATTTCACGGCTGCAATCACCATCTGCAGTGGTTTTGGAGCCCAGAAAAATAAAGTCAGCCGCTGTTTCCCCATCTGTTTGCCATGAAGTGATGGAACCGGATGCCATGATCTTAGTTTTCTGAATGTTGAGTTTTAAGCCAACTTTTTCACTCTCCTTTTTCACTTTCATCAAGAGGCTCTTTAGCTCAGTCGGCTCACCCTTTTATTTGTAAGGACTTAGTGTTTTGATTCATTGAAACGTGTCTGTCAGTCTCCTTTACTACTACTATACATTTCAAAACACTGCCTGGATCAGGTTATCATTAATACGTTCACGTCTTTATTTTTACCTGTCATTTGGCTCTTCTCCCAAATAAATCCGGCAGTTCCCTGTCTTAAACTTTATGCTATGCAGTGTTCTCATTCCTTTTGACATTGTTTCTCTTGCCCTTTAGAGCTAAACTTGTTCATTGAACAGAGCCAGAAGAAATAGCACAAGTTGAGAAGTCAGACCTGAATTTTAACTCAGGATCTTACACTTGTTTTAAGCATCTGATTCTTGAGAAAAGTTTGTAGTCAGTTTGTAGAACGCAGTTAATACCTTGCAGGGGTATTGTAATGAACGTGCTTTAAAAGTAGTACATTTCCATAGTAATCTAGGTGCAATTCTTTTCCACCTTTCTTTCCTCAGCCACTGTGGCACTTATATTAAGCTTGCAGTTTAGAAAACCTTTTAAATGACCAGCTAATCAGATTTCCTTTCATTTTCTTCTATAATTGATATTTCTAACCTAATTATAGGTTCACATATTCATCCCTCCAGCTGTTAGTTCTCAGATTCACTTAACCACTTCTTTCCTGGTATGTTCTGTGGGGGGGTGATGGTATTTGTACCTGTTTTACTGGATTGTTGGGAGGATTAAAGGAATTAATGTGTGTAAAGGATTTAGAATAATCTTTGTCACTTGGAATTAGTTGTTACTGATTCAGGTTACTTATTAAGAAGCTGAAAAGGTTGTGGCTAAATTAAAGTTCCTAGAACATACTCCAGAGTAAATTAGGCCAGTTGTCATTAATGATACTCCAAGGGTGATAAAATCCATTGCTGAAGTTGAAGCTGAAGGTTGAAAAGTCTTCTGTACTGTTAGCTTTTGTCTTCCTTGTGCTGGTACCTCTTGCTTCTGCCAGCCTCATCAGCCTGCTCTTATTTCTTCTTTTTTTAAAAAAATATTTATTTGGCTGTGCTTGGTCATAGTTGTGACACATGAGATCTTCATTGTGGCATGCCGTATGTAGTTCCCCCCCACCAGAGATCGAATCTGTGCCCCCTGCATTGGGAGTGTAGAGTCTTAATCACTGGACCACCAGGGAAGTCCCCTCTCCATTTATTCTTTGTATTTCAGCTTCACTGGCCTCCTCTAAGCTCTTTGAAAGCACTAAGTTCTCTTATACCTTAAGGCCATTGCAGATAATGTTGTTTAACTGCAAGCACCCTTTACTCAGGTCTTTGCCTCATTAATTCCTACTTAATGTTTATTCACTGGACAATTATTGAGTCTGTTACTCATTCTTCAGTTATTAAATGTTACTCTGTCTCATAGAAATGATTCCCTTCCTGGTATAAATCAGGTCCTCATAATCCTTTAGTGAACCATTTAGTTTTCCTTCATGTTTATCACAATTTGAATTAAATATTCATGTGGTTGGTTGCCTTTGCCACTAGAAGGCTATAAAAAGGACAGAATAAAGTTTTAAAAATTCTTGTATCTCCAGTACCTACTACAGAATACACATGGTATTCATTCTTTGATTATTCTAATTAGTGGTTTTCAAGCTTATTAACCACAGCCCACAATAAAAAGAAAAATTACACGGTGAGCCAGTCTGTACACTCAGCTATATGAAGGAGAAAGTTTCATAGTCCTTTATCTACTATGACTGCATTTGAATTACTCTGATGTTTTCTGTTCTATTCCATTAAAAGAACAAAACCTTGGTTATAACTTACTAATGAGTCAAAACTAGATTCATCTATTCAAGAGATTGTTTTTTTTCTATAACTTAGAATGTCCTTGGAATAGGAAATGGCACCCCACACCAATATTCTTGCCTAGGAAGTCCCATAGACAGAGGTGCCTGGAGGGTTACAGTCCCCGGGCCCACAGAGTTGGGCACAACTGAGCATGCGCATACATACAGGAGTGTTCCATGGACTTTAATTCTTGGCCCTTTGGTTTTGTTCTCTGTGACATTTTTATGTCACTTACTCAGTTAATTTCAAAGTCTACATGCCTCTTCCTCTAAACTTTTTGGAGTCAGCTCAAAATGTTGCCAGACATACAAATGTTGTATTGATACATAAAAACTTAGCCTTTCAAAACTTTTTTTGTACTTAAAACTTTTTACTGACCACCCTAATGCTCCTCAGGGCTCCAATTTGCAATTGTTTCTTTTAGCTGTTGCTCATACACCTTAAACCTGGAGCCATCCCCTTTTCTTTTACTTCTGAGAATGTTCCTTGGTTACACTACCTCTGGCCTCATTGGTTTTCACACTTCTTCCTGTTCAGATTTGCAGTGCTTCACATTGTGCATGCTTGTTTTAAGCAGACTGAGGGTAGTGACCATGTATGTTTGCCCAGTGTGCATGTAATGCTTTTGTGGTAAACAAGCCTTCAGCCTTGCTCACTAACCTAACTTTTGCCTGGTTCCAGCACCCCTCACTGGCTTTGCTTGATACCCATAGGTTTTAAAATTAGATCCAGTTTAGAGTGTGTGGAATCACAGGCTGCCCTCTTCCTCCCTCTTCCCTCCAAGATCAGTGATGGGGGTGGGGGTCGGGAAGATGTGGGCACAGAGGATCCCCTGCAGGATTTGGGGGCCCCACCCCCAAGTGTCTGATGTATAGATCTGGGGTGGGCCTAAGAATCTGACTGTTCAGTAGGTTTTCAGATGCTGCTGATCTGGGGACCCCTCTTTGAGAACTGGCATCCCATGGAAAAGCAGCTTATGTAGCTCTTGTTCCTTGTTCTCAGGTGGGAAAGACATATGAGCTGCTCAACTGTGACAAGCACAAGTCCATGTTGTTGAAGAATGGCCGGGACCCTGGGGAAGTGAGGCCAGACATAGCCCACCAGGTAACTCCAGGGGCAGAGCTCAGGCCCTGGGGCCTCTGGACGGAAGGTAAGGCAGCTGTGGGGCTTCTCTTCCATCCTGACTGTGCCCTGGTCTCCACCTCACCTCCCTCAGAGTTTACTGATGCTGATGGACAGTCCCCTGAACCGGGCAGGCTTGCTCCAGGTTTACATCCACACGCAGAAGAATGTGCTGATTGAAGTGAACCCCCAGACTCGAATTCCCAGAACCTTTGACCGCTTTTGTGGCCTCATGGGTGAGAGAGAAACTTGGCAGAACTGATGGAGGGAGGAAGAGGAAGGGGAATAAAGTGTGGCGTTTTTAAGTGGGGGAGGGGTCACATGACTGATCTCAGCACCAGGGGTCTGCACTTTCTTCCCATGTGCGTGGGTTCCTGGCTGCAGAGAAGGGGGGCGGGGGGTGCTGTCACTGCACAACCAGCCTCGTGCTTGGCAGCTACTTGTTGAGAGCATCTAAGTTGTGTGGATGCACGGGACACGTGTAACTAGCTCACCTAAGGGTTTTCTAGTTGAATCACTGGGCATGAGAAGCTGGGTTTCCACCTAGCTCTGAACTCTGTTTTTCTGTCCTAGTTCAGCTTTTACACAAACTCAGCGTTCGAGCGGCTGATGGCCCCCAGAAGCTCTTGAAGGTGAGGTGTTGTTACCTACTGGTTGGAGGTGGTGTTCTGGGTATGTTTCTGGGGCTGATTTTTATTTATTTTTCTTTAGGTGATTAAGAATCCAGTGTCAGACCACTTTCCAGTTGGGTGTATGAAAATTGGCACTTCTTTTTCCGTCCCAGTTGTCAGTGATGTGCGAGAGCTGGCGCCCAGCAGTGACCCCATTGTCTTCGTGGTGGGGGCCTTTGCTCATGGCAAGGTAAGGCCTGGGCTCAACTCTCAGATTCTTCACGGAGCTGAAGCTTAGCACAGAATCCCAAGAGCACTCAGCATTTTGATGATCCGTAGGAGTTGGGAGGTAGAGGGTAAGAAAAAAGCTGAGGGGCTCCACCTCCTGCCCCTGGCGCATCCTGTGAGGAACGCTGGGGTGTGCCTCATGGTTGGAACTAGGCCTTCTCCATCCTTTTCCCACACTGGTGGTAAACAGTGCTATGAGATGGCAGTTTTTCTGCCCTGAACCTGTGATAGAGCGAACGAGCCGCTGACGGATGCTCTTTCCTCAGGTGGACGTGGAGTACACAGAGAAGATGGTGTCCATCAGCAACTACCCGCTCTCTGCCGCCCTCACCTGTGCAAAAGTCACCACTGCCTTTGAAGAAGCGTGGGGGGTCCTCTGACAGCAGGGCCCAGTCCCCCGACAGACAGTGCAGACGTTGCTTCCTGCCCCTGTCCTCAGTCGACTGTTGGAAGACCCTCCCTGCACCCAGACTGGGGTCTGCGGAAGTCCAGGCTATACGCCTGCTATCTGTTTATTTTATAAACGTTGTTCTTGTAAACCTGGTTGTCCTCTGAGAGTTCCTAAACTCGGCAGCATCTGATGGTGTGACCTGGTGTAACCCCTCAGACAAGACCCGTGAGGTTATGGTATTTGCAGTCTGGCGCCCTCAACGAGGGAGCTCTGATTGTTTCAGCCATGGCACGCGTGGAGGGCTGTGTTTGAAAGCAAGTAGCCAGGGGCGCCAGCCGTGAAAAACCAAACAAACTGAAGTGATTTTATGTGGTACAGTCAGTCCAAGGTAGAAAAGTGGGGCAGGCAGGGCCTTGCCCCTCCCTTCCCCCCATGGAGGGGGGGGCGGAGGCAGCGGCATGGATACAATCATAGTAAATTGGCAGAAGAAAAACACAAGTTCCTCGCTAGAGGGGGAAGAGATAAGGCATCGTGCATGGGGGAGCCCAGAGGAGGGACCTGGGCCCCTCTGCTCCTCCCACGAGTTTCCCCTTTGGCCCCAAATGGAGACGTGGCCGGCGGCAGAGGCACAGCTGGGGAGCCCCGTCTTCCCTCACCCTGGCTTCTGGTTCTCTGTGCTCCAGGGCAGAGTGCTGCAAAGGGAGGCGGGTTGTTGGTGTGCCAGTCCTGCAGTGGGCCACCTGCGAGGGAAGGCAGCGGGAGGCCAGTTGGCGTCACTTCCTGGTCCCCGGACCCCAGCCCTTCCAGCTCCCTCCGGGCACCTCTCAGAGCAGTCAGCGCCCCATACCGTGTTTCTGGAAGCCAGGCCTGGTGAGGTTCACCCCATCTTCCCAGGACTAGCCGTTCCCTGCCCCATCCCAGTCCATGGCTGCCTTCTCTGACCTGGTAGTTTATGCTCAGTTGTAGGGAAGTGTACATACCAGGGATTACTCCATTTTCTTTAACTTCTCTTTCCTGGGCACCATCACTTTACGGACGTAAGGCAATATCAATAGTAGACTCAAGAAGAAGACGTGGCCAAGGAAATAAATGGACTTGTACACCTGTGGGGACACGCAGCCTCCGTGGTAGACAGTAGCCTGGAACTGTCGCCCTCCCCGCCGCCCGCCTGACCTCTTAGCAGTCCTTTCCCCTCCTGGCGGGTAGGTCCCTGGCTACCTTCATCCACTTGTCCCAAGTGAAGAGGCAGAAAGCGGTCATCGAGTAACCCATGAAGAGCCAGTGGATGGTCTGCTGCACCAGATAGTAGAGGGGCTGCAGGACGGTGATGGAGGCCAACCTGCTCAGGACTGGGCTGTCTCGAATCAAGCTGGCAGCCTGGGGAGGAAGGAACGGGCTCACTCAGCCTTGCTCCTCTGCTCAGGCCCCCTCTGCCCGCCGTCCTGAGGGCTCACCTGTCGCTCCACGATCACAATGAGGAACTCCATCTGGAAGCAGACCAGGTATCCCGAGTGGAGGCCGTGCCAGAGCGCCAGGAAGAGCAGCGAGAGGCCCTGGGATAGAACCTTATTTCCCAGGAACTTGAGTCGTTTGAAGAAGTAGCTGGAGAGAAGGGTGAGGATGAGCTTCAGACCCATCCTGCCTCCTGGCGCCCGCACTGGGGCGGAAGGCAGTGTGCGCGGGTCACTTCAGAATGAAAGGCAGCCAAGCTGATGAGTCACGGTTTAGACAGAACGGACTGAATGAAGGCTCAGCTGGGGCCCCGCTTGGTACCATGGATGATGGATGGCCTGCCTGGTGCCGAGGCTGCAGTGGAGAGGGGTGGGCTACCTAGCCCTGTACCCAGGCCACTAACTACCTTGTTTCTGATTTTGAAACATAACAGGAATGGTTTTGGGGGCGTTGAGTTGGGGACAAAAGTGGGCATGGCTGGGGGTGTCAGAGTGCCTAGAGGGGTCCGCCTGCACTGGGGAAAGGTGAAGAAGTTAAGTGACACATCTCTGCCCTGGGCGCTTACCGGGCCACCCAGGCGTTGGTGTTGATGTTGAAAGAAGCAATGGTGCCCGTGAAGCGGGGGTTGGTTTCAAAGAGCCACACCTTCATGTTGGCACAGGCATCCCACTTGGCTGTCCCATACTCATCGAAGCCATTGAAGCCCAGCCCCGTCAGAATGCACACGCCTTCCTGAGGGAGCCAGGCCATGAATGTCCCACCGCCACCCGGCTCCCATTCCAGGCAGGTGGTCTGTGATCCTACCCCTCTACCCCCCAACAGGTTCATCCCCTGTGAGCCCGCCCCCTCTACCCCCCAGGTGGTCTGTGACCCCACCCCTCTCTCCTCACCGTGACCAGCCAACAGGTGACATATTTGTACAGCACGAACTTGCCCCAGAGCAGCATGTACATGCAGCGGAACCAGAAGCTGCCGTTCTTGAGAGAAGAGAACGTGGGTGGGTTAGGAATGCCACCAGACCAGGAGCCCTTCCTCGTCTTACCTCACATATGCGGCTGACTACTCTGCAATAGGCCAAGGGGAAACCCCTCAGAGAGGCCCCGAGACAGCGGGGCCTCACCTCCTCTCCTAAAGTGGGGGGCACTTGGGACATTGGTGCTGGGGGCTTTTATGTCCACATTCATCATCAGTGAAGGAGATGGGGCCGAGCCAGCATCTCTCCCCGGGTCCTGGGCTCCTAGTGCCCGTCTGCCCAGGGCTGGAGGGGCTTGGCCAGGTCGCCTGGCTGTTAAAGAGAATGAGCCCAAGCTGAGCTGCAGGGCGAGGTCAAGGTGCCGATGCGTACCTGGCATGGCCCTGTGCCCGCGAGGTTGTGCAGCGTTGGCTGATGGACGCCAACGCTCAGATCTAGAGCAAAACCAACAGGCAGTTGTGGGTGGTGCTCGCACCTCTCAGCTATCTACGGGGGGCCTGGCCTGGTGTCTCTGGTGCTGCTGTGCCGCTCTGCTGACGAAGCACTCACTTGGTAGTCGTCGCTGAGGAGATAGTCTTCGGTGATGTGGGGGCTGAGCAGGGTGTAGCCCACTAGGTAGACCAGGCCCAGGGCCAGGCGCCGGAGAGCAGGTATGGTGCTGGAAAGGGACAGGCGGGGTCATGGCGGGTGATGGCAGAGGCCCCTCCCTCTGCTCTTCTCGAGGGCGCGCGCTGCCTCGGCTGGGCAGGGGAACAGAGCATGCGAGCCCTGAGTCTGGGTGCTTCCCCTCAGGTCCGGCGGACCTCTGGGTCTCCCCGGTGTGTGCGGGCTACATGGGGACTGAAAGCCCGATGCAGAGCTCAGCTTTGGATCTGCTCTCTTCTCTCCTGGCTGGATCGATGCTCAGACACAGGCTGGCCAAAGTTCTCAGCAAAGGGATCTGCCTGGTAACTTGATCAGTTTCCTGATTCTTGGTGGCTCAGATGGTAAAGAATCTGCCTGAAATGTGGGAGACCCAGGCTCGATCCCTGGGTGGGAAAGATCCCCTGGAGAAGGAAATGCAACCCACTCCAGTGTTCTTGCCTGGAGAATCCCATGGACCGAGGAGCCTGGCGGGCTATAGTCCATGGGACTGTGAAATATATAGATTTTGATATATTAACATTTTTTAAACTGGGAAAGTGGGTTTTAAAGGCAGGGACATGACTGCTTCAGGCAAAATCCTATGGCATAAACGTGTATTTTGACGTTTGTACCACAGGGTCGGGAGGGATGGTGGGAAGTGACCCAAGCTGACAAGTGCCCACTCCCCGCCATGAGCAGGCACGGAGCGCTGGTCACAGGGCAAGAGCCTGGCCCACAGGAGACAATGCAGCTGGCCGGCCTTTGGGAGGTCACTTCAGAAGCGCCTTTGTGTTGGGTGAGAGGCCTGAACGGAGGTCTTGATGAAGGGGGTGATTACCTGTTTGGTATCTTCCCTGGGACGTCGGTCAGCTCTCCCCGCACCAGCTTCATGTAGTGGTTCATGGAGAACTGGGGCCCCACCAGGAAGGCTCCGTAGAAGTAGGAGAAGCCGGCGACTTCGAGCAGGGAGGGGACACCCCGTATGGCGTATATCTGCTGCTCGGAGGACAGGGATTTCTGTGCCGAGAAGAGAACAAGGAGTTCAGGACCCCCAAGAGCCAGTGTGAGGGCTCCCCGCCCTGGTGCCCCACTGAACTGGGGTCTGCAAACAGAACCTCTTTGAGGGGATGACAATGTGGAGAGGAGTTGGTGCTTCAGGGGGAAGTGGGTGTGTCGGGGGGAAGTTCAGCCAGGGCCGGCTGCAGCCCTCTTCCCAGGGCCTTGCTGGCTGGATCGCTGGGTTGTGAGCAGAAGCAGGACCCGGACAGTCAGAAATGGTGATCATACCACCCGGCCCGAGGGCGGGAGGGGAGGCCCCACCCCTGATGATAATAGCCATCCTCCTCCCTTTGGGTTAAACTCCTTCACCTCTCTGCGGAGGGAGGGTACTTACCTGATCCTTCCCTCCGTCATAGTAGTCCATGGCCAGACCTGAGCAGAGAGAGAAGGTGTGGGTGGAGCGGAGGGAGGGGGCACACGATGCAGCCTGTGGACCGAGGGTGGGTGGGAGGATGGGAGGGGCGTGGGTGTCAGAGGGGACCCACCACTCACCGATCAGCTTCAAGGTCAGGACACAGTGTGGCATCGTCCACTTGATGTCATAGGTGCCGGTGGCTGTGCTGTAATATCCGGCCAGAAGGTAGGCCTAGGAGAGGGGTGAGTATTTATTTATTCCACCATCACTACAGTGCATCTCCCCCTGCTCTGAAATCCAAGGTATTCTTTCACTTTTTCCTTTCTCTTGCTCTAGAAAGTGAACCTGTAAAGGGAAACGGACGTCCTCAAGGTTTCTCAGCAAAATGAGGGCTAAACTGAGCATTTAAAGGATTAAAAAGTTAAAAAAAATTTTTGTTTTTTTGGCCTCACCGCATGGCCTGCGGGATCCCAGCTCCGTGACCAGGGATTGAACCTGGGCCCCTGGGCCCTTGGCAGTGAGAGCTCAGAGCCCCAACCATGGGACCGCTGGGGACTTCCCCAAACTGACAATGTAGATGCTCAACATCCTGCAGCTCATTCCAAGTAGGTCTCCCGCCTTGACTTTGAGGGACTCCTGTCGTGGACGGACGGCTGCGCTAATCCTGGCAGGCTCAAGAACCCTGAGGGCGGGGTCCAGGGCAGAGGGCCAGTGGCCACCCCTCGGTGAGGCAGGCAGCCTGCAGGGGACGTTCCCGGGGCCTCTGGACACTGACCCAGAGCCTCGCTGCTGAGGGTCGCTGTGGATCTCCCAGTCCACGGCTTCTTCTCCACCCCAACCCTCATCCTCCCCCCGCCCCCACCCCGGCTGGCTGTGACCTGAGCTACCCTGGGAGAGAAACGTTTACCATCTGGACGCAAAAGGTGGTGAGCACAGCGGTGACAGTTCGGCCCATCAGCCGGAGGATGAGGAACTGCAGCACGATGCAGAACAGGGAGTGGTAGAGCTGGGTTCCTGGGTGTGGAGCAGACAGCACGTTGTTGCCTGTTTTCCCCCTACCGCCCTTACATTCCCACCCTTCCTGACACTTCTGAACACAAGGAGGAGATATACAGAAGAAAAAAAAAAAACTTTGGTATCTGGATCTTTCTTCTTTTTAAGGAGCCTCCTGATTTGGAGGAAGGGAAGGAAATTAACTGTATAAAAACACAGGACTGCCAGGGAGCTCCTGTATTTCTGGATGTTGGGCCTAAGGGATGCTCCTGGGGGTACTGCTTGGGTCTGTTGGCCAGTTCCAGCCCCAGCAGAGACAAACTGGTGTCTCTCTGTGGATGGCGTCTGGTAAGGGTTGTTTCATTGTTTTCGTCACTAAGTCGTGTCCGACCCTTTTGTGACCAACCCTATGGAGTGTAGCCCACCAGGCTCTGTCCATGGGACTTCCCTGGCAAGAATACTGGAGTGGGTTGCCATTTCCTTCTCCAGGGGATCTCCCTGACCCAGAGATGGAACCCTCATCCCCTGCACTGGCAGGCGGGTTCGTTACCGCTGAGCCATGAGGGAAGTCCCTCTGCTAAGGGTAACCATTCTCAAAATGCTTTTATCTGGGAGAGAAATGTACATGAAGGGAGAAGCTAAGCTGTGTTCCTGCCCATAAAACCCTCTCTTTGCTCCCAGAGCATCACAACTTCACTCTCCATCAGATTCCCTCCAGGATGTTTTGTTCAGGTCTGTTCCTTCTCAGGCTCCCTATAATTGTGGTGCTAACTCGGTTCACTCACCGAAGTTATAATAAGCGATTGAGAGGCCCGTAAAAGTGTGGAAAAGGTGGATGAGGTAGCTGTCCTTGTAGAAAAGGTAACGCCGATAAAATAAAGCCAAGGGGTAACCTGGATGGGGAGAAAGAGAAATAGAGGGTTACTCATGGCTGGTGCCCAGGTTTGTTCTGGAAGTTGATCTGGCATAACACCCAGCCCAGAGAGGAAAAAAAAAAACATGCATACTAAGGATGTCTACAAAGACAGCAACAGCATCCCTAATTATCAAAAGAAGCCTCTTTGTAAATACAAATTTAACACGGGAGATATTAATCTTATATTGAGGCAATACAAACTAGGTCCTATGATGAGGTTTCCTTTACCGCTTATTAAATATTGCTAGGAACTTTCTCTTGCATTTTTCTTAGATGATATAAGGGACTGAGGGTGCCCAACTGTGCCCAGAAATGCCATTTTACACCTTGATGATCTATTATAATTCCATCACCATCAGACTATTGTCAGTCACATTATTAAGAGGATAAATACAAATGATCCCTGGCTACAGACAGGGTTGCTGTCGGCATACTCAGTTGCAAAGCAGTTAGTAGGTGGGTACTCCTCACATACTTGAGGTCTGGGCACTGCCCAAGCTAATAAATCCATTTAAGTATACTGGAAAAATGTCTTCTGAAGCCATGATTCAGGGTATGGTCCCAGGGTTACGACTGAACTACAGGGGATCTCTTGATGGCCGTGAACTGAGGATGCACAGCCAAGGGTTGCTGACGGAAAGGGTCAACAACACTGGGTATTCCCAGACTAAAATAAGCACATTGCCTTGTTTTACTGCAGACTCATAGCCAGTGTTTTCACATCAGCCATCATGAAATCTGGCTGATAGGCTTGGCAATGTTCCTTCTGTAGTGCCTGAGCAGAGAGTTGAGGCCCCTCCTGTTTTTTGGAAGGAGGCTTTACCCAGTCTATCATTGCATAATTAGTGTTCTTGAGTTGGTCATGGTTTATAGCTGCTGCAATTCTTGCAATTTTGGCTGTACCTCGGGGCTTGTGGGATCTTAGTTCCCAGACCAGAGATTGAACCCAGGCCCCCAGCAGTGGAAGCTTGGAGTCCTAACCACTGGACTGCCAGGGAAGTCCCTGCAATTCTTAACTTTTCAATCATAAGTTGCAGGTAGTTTATCACTGGTGATATAGTTGTGAGTCTGGTTAACTGCAAGGCTTAGATGAGCGTCATACATAAAATGCTGAATTAAGTGAATAAGTAAATGGATAATCATGTTATACGTTAGCTGATGTTCTTTCTGCTAGTTATTTTTCCCATAACCTTTTTTTTTTTTTTTTTATACTTATGATCACAGGGACTTCTCTGGTGGTCCAGTGGCTAAGACTCTGTGTTCCAAATGTAGGGGGCCCAGGTTCAATCCCTGGTCAAGGAATTAGATCCCACATGCTGCAACTAAAGATGCTGTGTGCTGGAATTAAGATCCAGCACAGCCAAATAAATAATAATAATAATTAAAAAAACAACTTCTGATTACAACCTGTATACTTATGTATCTTAGTTTTTTCACACAACAATGTATCAGTCATTTATCTTCTTCGTGGTGGCAGGATCTACTGGTGTCCTTTGAATGCTGCTCTCATAATGGGCTATATATTTATCAAATATATAGCTTCATGCAAACAGTTGATGTAGATAATTCTGTGGATGACTGGCTCATTTGCTCATTCATTCATCCAACAGGTGTTTATTATGTGCCCACTACATGCCAAGTGTTCTGTTTATGGAGCACAGAATGTTACAGAGGGGGTGGCGTGGAATGGTTTATGTTCTAGCCACTTAAGGTGAAGTGATGTAGGGCTGCTAGTCGAGGGGAGGGAGGCAACTGTGACCGTTTCACAGTCAGATGAATGAGTAAAGGAATACGACAAATCTCATACGTACCGCATGGGCAGAAATCTTGTGGGACTAGCAGCAAGTATTGCTAAGAACCAGAGCCAGGTACTAGAAAGTATATATAAACACCCAAATGCCTTACATCTTTTGTCTTTAATATTTTAGGAATAGGGGCATAAATGAACAAAAACAACAAATAGGGTGGATCTTAATTACCTAGAGTACTCATAAAAAAGTTCCGGACAGCTAAGAGTTTACCCTTTAAAGCACTCAAAGGGTTAAAAACCTTTAACCAATTGAAATCACTGAAACCTTTCATCATTTGGGATGCTTGAAGTTAAAAAACACAACACACACTACTCCACGTCCTTAAACTGAATATAACTGGATATTTTCTTGGTGATCTGGGTCATTGTTCTAAGGGCACAATGGCTTTAGGACCTACTGGGGTGTGCCCACACTGTTCTACATTCTAAGTCCTTATATCCATTTTCCATACTTTTCTGTCCTTTTCTTTGCTATTCAGGGATCTACAGTCACTTCTTGATCTTTCAGTGCCAAGAATAGTCTCTATTCCTACTTCTAATTTACAGCAGGCCTTAGAAGTCTTAACTTTGTTTTAAAGGTGCAAAACAAAACAGATAGACAAGATCTAAGACAAGAACAAGGGCCTTGGTGTCTTCCTTGCAGACTTAGTGCGCAGCCCTTGTAACAGCTGTTCTGGCATTCAAGGCCCTTTCACTCTCTCCTATTTTCAGGTGTATTTGGGGGGGCGTCGAATTGCGTGAGGAGTTCCATGCAGATGAAGTCTGACTGCGCACCAGGAAATGTACCGATAAGGAGATGGAGTAATTGGGAGAAAAAGAAAAAGAGTGTAGCAGGCCAGGTTACCAAGGACAGGAAGATCATCAGAGAGAGCAGCGGAGCCTCCAGGCTCTGGAAGCCGCCAAGGGGAGGAAGGAGCTGTGCTGGGCGAGTTGCTGTGACAACCCGGAGCTGGTTGTCAACACGGTACCCTGCTCCCCGCTGCTGCTCAGCTCAGCAGGCTTCGGAGCCTGGCTGCCATTCATCCTACTGGGGATGTGCTGTTTGGGGGGCGGGTGTCATCCTACAAGCTGCTTCTGAGTCTCAGTGCTGCTGTGTGGGAGCCGACGCTTGATACAGTGGCTGCAGTCACCTGAAGAATCTCTAAAAGGAACCAACAGAAGCAACTCTCACCCGCACACCCGCCCGTCAGTCTGATGCAGTTAGGTCTGGGTGGCCCTACTGGGCAGCCGGGGCTGAGAAGCTCTGCCTTCCTAAAGCCTCGTGCAGGGCAGGTCCTGGGGAGCAAACCCTGAGCTCGATGACTAGGGGCTGCTATTTTCCCTGAATGGCACCCAATAGGCAGAGGTTTGCTCTCTAAATCCGGTCTGGAGGCTTTTAAGAGCTTGTGTGGCCACCACACTGGAACAGTTTCTTCTATTTGATTGTTTGCTTAAAGGGGGACCCTGGGGACTTCCCTGGTGATCCAGTGGCTAAGATTCTGTGCTCCCAATTCAGGGGGCCTGGGTTCCATCCCTGGTCCGGGAACTAGATTCCACAAGCAGCAACTAAGAGATTGCATGCCACAACTAAAACCCGGCACAGCCAAATAAATAAATATTAAAAAAATAATAAAGGAGGACCCTGCAGAAACTTATCAGTGGATGAAGGTTGAAGATCAAATCTGCACCCTAAACCCAGGATTCCCAAACAAGAATGGATATAGGCCAAGAGCAGACTGGAGGGCACTCACTATGCCTACACCCTACAGCAGACTGCTGGGAGGCACTGCACTTGGCCCCTTCAGGCAGGGGTCCCCAACCTCCGGGATCCAATGATCTGAGTTGGAGCTGATGTAATGATAGTATTAATAGAAATTAAATACACAATAAATGTGATGTGCTTGAGTCAGCCTGAAACCACCCTCTACCCCTCACTGCCTTGGTCTTTGGAGAAAACTGTCTTCCACGAAACTGTTCCCGGGTGTCAAAAAAGTTGGGGACCATTGCCTTCAAGGATCCCAGTAGTTACCACATGGAGTGTATGTACCCCGCTGGTCTCCCCAGCTCGTCACCGGATGTCTCCTCAGGCCCCACTGCTGTCTTCAGTCAGAAACTTGGCTCTATTAACTGAGATTGCTAGTGGAGTTCCTCCCTCTCTGAGATCTAAGAGTTGTGAAATTACTCATTAATTCTAAAAGGTCCTGAAGTTCCATGTGAAGAAATAGAAATGGACTGCTTTCATTCAAGTCTGATGAATTTGTCTCTCATCCCATATCGCTATTTCTGGGCTCTATGGGAATATGATACGACCCCATTTGATCAGGCAATGGTTCATGTGACCTTGATGAAGAGTAAACAGAGCATGTTTTGGCAGGTGTGAGGAAGAAGACAGAACTAGAACTGCTATGTGTTGTCTTAGCCAGGTATTGACACCTGGTTTTACCAAAAAGAAGACAACTACCTCCAACACCACACCAAGAGTTCAGAGGACACCCTCAGCATATATACATTAGTGGCTGTCAAGCGTTTTGGTCTCAGCACTGCTGTTTTAAAAATCATTAAAAAAAACCCTAAAATAGAGTTAATTTACAATGTTGTGTTAGCTTCAGGTATACACAAACTGATTCGGTTATATATGTGTGTGTATGTGTGTGTGTGTGTGTGTGTATTCTTTTTTAGATTCCTTCCCATTATAGGTTATTATTAATATAAGATATTAAATATATCTTCCTGTCCTATACAGGAGGTCCTTGTTAATTAGCATCACTTTACACTCTTAAAAGCCTTCCATTGCAGGGGCCATAGGTTTGATCCCTGTTTGGGGAACTAAGATCCCATATGCCATGTGGCACAGGCAAAAGAAAAAAAAATTAAAAGTTTTAATAACAAATATCTGGTCTTTGCTAAACAGAAGAAGGCTGGATGCTCAAAACTGCTTCTGAATTCAGTTTGTTGTAATATGTCATTTAGGCCAAAATATATGGAAAAAAAAAATCTGGCTTCACAAAGATATACAGCTGGAAAGAGAATCTTAATAGGTAATTAATGGATAGGTAATTTTGGATATTCTGTCTTTGATAACATACAGAAAATCAAAACTCGGCAAATAAGTAGTTTCTTAAAGGTTAGTTAACATGGAATCTGAAATCATATCAATGAGCTTTTCACACTGTTACATTAAAATCCAC